TTCATCAGTTATATCCGTCTCATATATTATAATGCACAATCAGAATAAACAGCGCCCCCACAGCCCATGTTTTAATTTCTCAGGGCATACGTCAGGGCTGTTCATTATCATCACTTATTTATGTCATTGCTATCGAGCCATTACTTGATACAATCAGGAAAGAAAAAAAGATCGAAGGTATCAAAATCCCAAATAGCAATAGCCGTCACTGCAAATTGACAGCTTATGCAGACGACGTTGAATTTTTCATCACTCGCTGCAGGGATTTTGAGAATTTAGGAAAATGGCGTCCCATCTATATGAATGTGCCTCAAATGCTAAAATCTACTATGTAAAATCAGAAGGGTTATGGGTTGGCTCTTGGCGAAATAACACCATCTCGACAAAGTCCTTGCTTTCATAAATTGTTCTAGGACTTTTATACAGATCATATGACATCAGGGATGAAACTAATGAATTTTACTGTGAACTGCATGGAGGCTATGACTACTCACAATCTGTAGCAATTCTTTTTGTTTAGTCTTGACTAGCATTATTGTAATGTTGCTAGCAAAACAGTGATATGTTACAGCATTGTTTGTCTGGTCTGGTTTGATGACACATACTCTATAGTGTGACTGGATATTTGATAGACATCATAACAGCTTTTGCTATACCGGTTAATAAAAACAATATGTTTAGCATTCTATTTTGATCTCTACTACACTACATGTATCTTGTTTCCAAATATACTGCATAATATGGTGTCGGCTTTGTATGATGTATGGTGCTATTTCCTGTCAATGCTTCAGACAGAGACGAATATTTCTGACATTTAACCTTTCTTCATTTAGGAATTCCATCACAGTTATAACTTGTCCATCTTCTCGAACAGATTCACTATCACATGTGTCTAATTCCTGGTATCCTATTCTCCCTATATTAAGAAATAATATTGGGGATAAATCACAGATCCACTTTGTGTTTCGAATTATGATATATTAAATGTCCTTATACACTTCCTCGGTTTAGTTCTGTGTAAAGCATGTATTATGATTTTCAATTACAATCTTCAGAAACCATGACGATAATCTATACAATTATGTGTGCACCAGGAAGCATTGTCAAACCAACAAAGTTTACTCTATGTTGTAGTCTTTAATTCCCGGTTCCCAAATTGATAGTGTTTACGCTTTCATCGTTTGTGAGCTTGTGCATATTGCGTGACAACTAACTCATACGAGCCACTGACAATTTGCACACTATTGTTCCTAAGCAAAAAATAACGAGCATGCAAATTATCTTTGGCTATAGCCAATGACTGGGAACAAGAACCCTACAGAGTGTTGAGTATACCGAATTATGACGTGCTTATTTATGTGGTTAGATAGGAACATAGTAGTAGGGAGAGGAAGTTGCACCGGAACTTGTTCAAACACTACTTGGATTCCCTGCAACTAAATCAAATGACAGAATCAAAGCCCTATCTTGACAGAAAGCCTAAGTTGGAAAGAAAAATGGCTGTTGCAAGAATAACAAGCTCAGACAGTAAGGAAGAATATATGATGGGACTTAAACCGAATGTCAATTTTTTTAGTCCGTGTAAGTGTTATGCAAACACGCACTGGAGACACTGTACATAATGGATGATGTAACTGACAAGGTCAGAATGATTACGCATGCTGAGTTGTATATGATTGAGATTGAATCTACAAGAAAGAAGATTGTCTTGGATAAGACGGGTGCATCCACAGCTTGCAATAGTCCTCATGCTAAAATAGAAGCAGATGAAGCAGACGATTCTGAATAATTCACATAGAATGAAGTAGATGAATCCTTAAACATTGGTGAAGATCCACATCGACTCTGTGGAGATCAAACAGGGTAAGTATAGAACCTTAGCGATATGGCTGAAGCTAGAGATACAGCAGTGAAGTGTATAATAAAAAGTAGTGTCTACAAGGAATTGAAGAGCCACTCATGGGATCTATACCTGGGGTTATGCCAAAGTGGTTCAATAGAAGCATGTAGAAGAGAACTGGGTGATGGGTAAGCAGGTATGGGTCTCACAGTTGGTTGGTTATGCCCCTGCCCAGTTTAAATCACTTGTCACTGGACAATCTCACCTTTCAACAAAGATGTTGATTTGAGGAAGCATTTGCGTACATTTGTACAAGATGCGTGGCTTGTTGTAAGCATGGCTCAATAGTTGTTGTGAGCTATGTGTACATCATTTTGATGAGAGTGAGACATTTGCCCCCACATTATGAGTTTAGTTGTGTGATTACAAAGGATTACAGCCCCACATTGTTGTGGAACTGTGTTGTGGAAGATCATATTGGGAAGACTGGTGGTTCTTAAAATTGATTGTCTACAGTAAGTAACCAGGGCTTAGCCCTATATTAGGTAGTGTTAGAATGTGTTGAGGGGGTATTGTTGAGAACAGTATTGTAGCTGAGTATCGTCGTGTGTTTCGTGTGTGCTCGATTATCAAATTTTAAGATAGAAATGGGCATGCAACTTAATCAGTTCTACAACCCTTTTTTATGGTACTGATACAGATTAGCATTGCTATGGTTATTGCTCACATATGGTGTGTGTGACTATTCACCAGAGACCCATATAATTGGTGCTAGGGATGGTGCTAGAGATGGTGTTACCAGTGCTGACCTGTGCTGTTAAGGTCTATGGACATGGTTGTACGATACATTGCGGGGTCCCTATGAGCACAGATAGAGAATTCTATGAGATTTCTGTTGGTTCCACCC